AAATTTCAAACCTAAATTATATCTAAAAATACATCTATTGATAAAAATATTTTTAAAACGCTCGGTAGAAATGTTCGGCCACTGTGCCTCTTGTGTTCTAAGTTTAACTGTATATTCTTTAATTTTTGGACAGATTTCTCTTAGCGGATGATTGTTTTGTTTACACAGCTTTCCAAACAGCTTTCAATATGTCTGCTCTAACAGTATATTAATATCTATTTGTTCTGATGTGTATCTTCTTTTATAGTTTTGAATAGTTGTTAATTCTGGTGGTGATGCAGCAATAACTGATAAGCCATAGGTACGTTGTGACTGGACCAGTGACCTCAAAAGAAGATCTAATTCGTCTTGACTGTATCCTTCATTCCTCCGCTTTCGAATTACAAACAATTACAAGCATTTATTTGCTTTCATCAACTTTTTCTTAACACATTTCTCAAATCTGCAATCAAAGCCCCAGTATTTCAAGACTAGAGTGCCGTTCAAAACAATAAATTGGTGTTACACAATCCTCTGATCGTCCTTTCTTTAATATAATCATTTCTTTACATTTACCCTCATTTAAAGGTAAAGAGTTTGATTCGGACCAGTCCTTAAATTCATCTATAGCTTTAGAACTACAATCTTGGGTATTATTCAAAATCGGCACGAAAAGAGAGGAATCATCCGCGAATTTAACAAGGAGGTGTTGGAACAGTTTTTAATCTCCAAATCATTAATAAATAAATTAAAGAAATGTGGTCCTGTTACAGTTCCTTGCATAACTCCCTTGTTAATACCTTTCCACTTAATTGCATGTCGTTCCTTGGAAAACTAGTCCGCTGTCTTCGATCTTTTAAGAAATTTAAGTACCAATTTACTAAATAAGGGTTTATAGAACTCGATTTCAATTTTTCACTCAGTTTTACGTGGCTTACATTGTCAAATGCTTTGGAAAAGTCCATTGCAATTAATCTCACTGCATCACGATTTTGTTCTTCTAGTGCTTTCAGGTACATATACTGTAATTTAATTAAGGCGTCTGTTCTACACCCAGCGATTCGATAAGCAAACTGGGAAGATGATAACTCAGCCTCGAAAGATCTTTTACTATGATAATGATAATATAAACCGTTCTTTCGAAGCATCGTCCAATCACAGGTGTGACGTTTATACCTCTAAATTCACAATATTCCTTTGGATTCTCGACTTTTGTTAAAGGATCTATATGCATGAGCAATTTACCAAGAGGTAGGCCATGTGGATGTAGAGAGAGATTCATTCCAAATCTTGGTCATAACAGGTGCAAATACATCAGCGTTTTCTTTCCATACCCAAAATGGGATTCCATCAGGGCCTGTTGCAGTTTTCCTTATTTCTAACAAAGCGTTCTTGACCTGGGTTACGCTAAACTGAGGAGCTAGCTTTTATTGTGATTGAATCTATCACCATCAACCTTGGCTGTTCATAGTCTCTATTCCAACATTACTCTCCAAAGTAATCGTTCAAGTTTTCTTTGAACTCGTTGTCAAGTATAATATGATCTCGATTTCTTCTATGTGACGTTTTTCACCATTGGCTTGTACCAGTACACTCGGATTTTCCCATATTTTTGTTCAATTATGTGAAATTATTCCAGATATTCGTTCTGTTAATTCTGCCGCACAAGATAGCTTTCTCCTTGACTTAGTCTTTGATCTTTTTCTTATTTAATACTTTAAGAGTGGAGAGATCCATGGAGGGTCACGAGTGGAAAGAGTAACTGTTTCCTTTGGAAAACATTCATCTATCATATTGTGGATAGTGTTCTCCAGTACTTTAGTTGTTTCTTCAACTGTTTCCAATGACGTAACTTCAGACCAACTTTTCTCAGCACGCTTCTTTTGAAATTTGACTTTATTCTGTGCTCTGTAGTCCCTAAAGCTGATTTTAGTGCGGAGGGGTTTCAATTTTATTCCTGCCGGGATAATGACTCCCAAGTGGTCTGTTTTCATTTGTATATGCAATGGGTATGCTTTATTGAAAAATTCCGGTCTATTTGTAAAGCAGTTATCAAGAATTACTTGCCCAGTAGTGGGAAAGTCTACCAAAGGCAACATGCCAGACATTGTGGAAAGTTGACTAACGTTTAGATGATTAATGTCTCCACCAAAGAGAACTAAGCCATTTGGGTTAATGTCTAAAAAATTGTCAACGACTTCCACAATTCGATTCAAAATATCTGTTTCATCATAACTAAATCTTGGAGGGTGATAGTATCCAATAACTAACATTTTATGTCCCGTTGGGAGAATAAGTATAATACTAATCATTTCAAATTCTGTTTCCCGAATGACACGAATTACTTCCAAGTTCTGTCGAAGATATACTGCAATTCCTCCGTTTTTCCGTGTATCTGCATTATAGTCTCTATCTCTAGGCCCGTATAGGTTATATGATGCCATTGTGATAGAATGTGGAGTTATTAAGTAACTTACAGGGATTTATAGACCCAAATTTTATAGATATTTGCGCAAAAACAAGGGTTCACTGATGTTTTAACAGGAATTTGTACGGAAAACATTTTTTGTCCCTTAATTTAACTGGTTTATGTCCGTAAAAATGTTTTCGACCCTTTTTTGGACCACAGCCGCCCCCCCCCCTCGCCAAGATTTTTGGGAAAAATAGTTGCCAAAAAATAATTTGCTGCAGGGCATTATCGGCTTTGGCAGGGAAATTCCAGGAGACAGCCCCCCCCTAATTAAACGCCTCTAGTTTCGCCCCTGGTTTAAGACGTCGTTCCCCGGCGTAATTTGGTATTGAGAGACGTGGCTATTTTGTAGGTAAACAATTCTGTTCAGCTTCTGGTGGGAAGGCTGCGCATTCCACTGGTAGCAAGTGCGCCAACTCGCTGTGCTGGATGCTGGTTAAAATGCGCCATTTCAACCGGCTTTGCGCAAAGAATACCACTAAAAGCTTTACAGAATTTAAGGTTGTTATATTAAACTGTCGCTGCGAAGTTCTATGCAGGCACAATGCGAATATGGGATCTTCCCGTGCGCCATTTTAAATTGTCCCCGGTTCCCAAAAAGACCCTGGGTACGAGGATGTTGGCTGCGTAGCCTTGACCACAGAATAAAGATCAGTACCAGAAGAGCCACTCAGCGTTGCAACGTGTCACCATTTTTCTAAGCAAAAATATGCAGTTGACTGGCCAGAAGGCGGGGCCTTCAGCCAATACAGCGCGTTTATTGGCCAGAAAATGTAATCGACTGGCTAGGAAGATGGTAACCTGAAGTTCAGGCCCTATCACAGAATAGGGCCTGACACAAAACCTATCTAAAGTGTGGGATTCCCGTCCACCTGGTGGACGGGAAATCTGATTGGTTGATCAGCATCATGAAGGATTTTGATTGGTTGCAAGTTCAGATAAACAACAGTTTTAAAAATAGCTCGGTCAAGGCGAGAATTAATATAAAGGTCAAACGCACGTAACAAATTCCATTATCGATTTCTTCGAATTTCTTTTCTTTTATGCTTTATGGAAGAAAATAAATCAAACAAACAGTATTTTGAAAGGGCTTCATCAAAATCTTTGACGAATTTTGGACACACACGACGCTGAAAGAACGGGTGTGTGTAAAAGCCGGAACCCCACCCGGAACACCCGGAACCCACCCGGAACACCCGGAACCCACCCGGACCCCACCCGGAACACTCGGAACCCTACCCGGAACACCCGGAACCCCTCCCGGAACACCCGGAACCCTACCCGGAACACCCGGAACCCCACCCGGAACACCCGGAACCCCACCCAGAACACCCGGAATCCCACCCGGAGCACGCTGGAATACGAGCTATGAAGCAACGCACGTGTTTCTCTATAAATTCTCGTGTTTCGCATTAAATTCGGGGTGATAGATGGTTAAGATCTTTACTTTTTACTTGTATTGTTATTTTTTTTTAAATAATTTTTCTCATGGGCAAGGATAAATATATTATGTCGGGAGGTATATAATATCAAATGCATAAGTTTTGCTTGTTTGTAAACGTGCAAACGAAGTTTCGCTCGAGGCGTTTGCCGCATGTACTATATTTTTCGTTTTCAATATTCTGCCGTACTATGTACCTGTGACTCTATTCTAAATTTAGTTGAACAATAACCAATATTTAACTTTGCTATCTTTTTTATTATTTGAATAATATGTTTGCATATATGGTTACTTTGACTTGAAATTGTATGAAACAGCGCCATGTAAGAATTTAGAGGAATTATAAAGTTCATCCGTATTTATTACAATATATACGAATTCTCGTGGATTTGGGACATTTTTCATGGATTTCTTTACTACACTTACTCGCTTTTTTGAAACTTTGAAAGACGTTTTAGTAATTTAGAGGCTGTTTTGTATATGCCAATAACTGCAGCCTACAGTAAAAGTGCACGAACGTAAGCTAATAAATTATATGTATTAATGCTAGAAATTCCCAAAACATTTATTTGTCATTGGAAACGTTGACAACCAAATCAACAAGCTGGTGTCGTATATATAAAGCACTAGCCACTGGGCAAAACGTTCATGTTATACCTTCAACAGTAACACAGTCCTTAATTTAATATATTAAATACAATATTTATTTACTGCCGTTGATCGAAGGAACATGGACGTTTTGCCTCGTGTCTATATTTATATGACATCATCCTGCTTGTTGGTTGTTAACGTTTTCAATGACAAATGAATGTTTTGGGAATTTCTAGCAATACATATAATATATTAGCTACTTTATTTAAAGGCACAGTTCAGCCTGTTGAACGATGGTTTTTAAGGCGCAATTCAGCTCTTTTAATTGAAAAAACTAGCTATAAAAATCAATTAAGCATAATTCAAGATCACCAAACTCAATGTTTTTAACATTTTAAAACATTTTTATTGTTTAAACATCGAGTTTACTGATTTTGAATCATACTTAACTGATTTTCCTACTTAGTTTTTTCAATTAAAAGGGCTGAAATGCGCCTTAAAAACCATCGTTCAAAAGGCAGAACTGTGCCTTTAAACATATTTCTGATGAGAATGAGTTTGCCCCAACAGCGTACACAGTCATCAAGGGGGCTTACTTAATAATACTGTTATTCTGAGATCTCGCGCGTGCACTTTCACCGTAGGCTGCAGTCATTGTCATATACAAAACAGCCTCTAAATTACTAAAACGTCTTTCAAAGTTCCAAAAAAGCGAGTAAGTCTAGTAAAGAAATCCATGAAAAATGTCCCAAATCCACGAGAATTCGTATTGTAATAAATACGGATAAACTTTATAATTCCTCTAAATTCCTACATGGCGCCGTTTCATACAATTGCAAGTAAAAGTAACCATATGCAAACATATTATTCAAATAATAAAAAAGATAGCAAAGTTAAATATTGGTTATTGTTCAACTAAATTTAGAATAGAGTCACAGGTACATAGTACGGCAGAATATTGAAAACGAAAAATATAGTACATGCGGCAAACGCCTCGAGTGAAACTTCGTTTGCACGTTTACAAACAAGCAAAACTCATGCATTTGATATTATATACCTCCCGACATAATATATTTATCCTTGCCCATGAGAAAAATTATTTTAAAAAAACAACAATACAAGTAAAAAGTAAAGATCGTAACCATCCATCACCCCGAATTTAATGCGAAACACGTGAATTTATAGAGAAACATGTGCGTTGCTTCATAGCTCGTATCCCAGAGTGTTCCGGGTGGGGTTTCGGGTAGGGTTCCAGGTGTTCCGGGAGGGGTTCCGGGTGTTCCGGGTAGGGTTCCGGGTGTTCCGGGTAGGGTTCCGGGTGTTCCGGGAGGGGTTCCGGGTGTTCCGGGTGGGGTTCCGGGTGTTCCGGGTGGGTTCCGGGTGTTCCGAGTGGGGTTCCGGCTTTTACAGACACCCATTATTTTGTTCTTTATAACTTAATTGCTTGGACAAAAATCTATGAAAACAGTAAATTAGTGAGCCACAATCCCTAGCAGTATCCCTAGCAGTATTCCTAGCAGTATTTTAAGTCCACAACAGGTGGGTTTCACTTAAAATTATCCATTTCAAAAGCATTGTAATACTTTATGAAATACAAAATTTCTATATTTATTTTATGTGGCCTATAAATAACAACGCTGTTTCCAAGCAGCATATCTGCTTAGCGTCAAGATTTTGTGTTATAAATATTACATGTAAATCGACTATGAAATATTCTAGCAGTATTAAGGTGGCTCCCTACAGTTCTCTAAAATTCTAGGTATTTTGAGTATCGTTCGCTTTGAACCGAATTTATATTAGATACACTTAAGACAAGGCAATATGATCATTTCCAGGAAAGTTCAGAAGCTGTGTGCTGTCCATTTATGAACAAATTAAAACAGTGTTTGTGTTGCCATGGCAACCATGACGTGTAATCTTTTGCACTTTTATTGCCTAATTTCACAATAAATGGACAATATCTATATTTTCCTTCGGTGAATTTTTCTGAAATTTTCTTTGAAGATTTATGGTCTATAAAGGAAAAACATATCAAAATTTGAAGGGAATTTATAAATACGTTTTCGAGATATTCGTGAATGACTGTTACAGAAAAAGTTATTTATAGAATTTCTTAAAATTTGGATATGTTGTACCATTCCTCTTGTTTAACAAAAATACAAAGTTTAAAAAAATTTCACCGAAGAAAACACGAGAAAATCATCGCTAAAATCGGCGTGGCCAGCATGAAAAAAAATCGATTCGACATGAGCACGATCTGCGCATGCGTGTAAATTGTAGCGTGTGATTTATAGTTTTGGCTTACAATACATAAGAAAACAGATATTTCTGACTTGTTTGACATGAAAATAAAATATTAATCTTGAAAATACTAATAAAAAACACTATTATAGGCATTGTATTAAATCCAGTGTTAGTTTACATTTGTTTTTGTTGTTAAAGTCGGTGTGAAAACTTTTCAAAACATCGAACTACAAGTTTAACGTTTCATATAAAACAACTCATAACTGTTTTATTTGATTTAGCAGATAAAACGATACCTGTAAATTGAATTGATTGACAGAACTTATATAAGTTTCGGCAACAGTTCACTACTGTTCAAGAGTTAATAGAAGACAGTGTCATTTCAGTTTGACAGCTCGCAAAACAACAAGTTGAAAATTTTGAGCAATATGAAAGACAATACTGAACGTAAATACGTAAAAACACACTGAAAGATAGGTTAAACTAGTTAACAACATACGTACTGTTCGAATTCAGAAAAAAATAGGATTATAATGAAAAACTGGGGCTTTCTTTGTAGATAAAAAACGCCAAAAAACTTCCCACGGCTTGTTTCAATATTTTTGCAGAACAGTAAACACGCTTCCACGCTCAGGTCGCGAGGATGAAGTCTGATCTATATAAATCGTA